ATAGATATAGAGATATAGATATGGATATGATATAGATATAGATATAGATCCATAGATAGAGATAGAGATAGAGAGAGAGATAGAGAGAGATAGAGAGATAGAGATAGAGATAGAGATAGAGATAGAGATAGAGATAGAGATAGATACAGATATAGATATAGATATAGATGTAGATGTAGATATAGATATAGACATAGACATACCTTTTCCTTCCCCACTCCCAACATGAAAACATCCTGACTTTCCATTTGGGAATAGTCAGACCCTCAAAAGGATCTCTGAGATCTTCTAATGTAATAGTTAGAACAAAATTAGAACAAAAAAACCCTAATACATAAATAGACAAGGTTAACTACATCCATCTTAAGCATATTTGGTTCATCATATTTCTGAAGGAAGTTTAAGTATAATTTTATGTTTGCACTGGGTAGAGTTCAAGGCAATATATTCTCTGTTCATATAAGTGCACAAGTTTTCATGGAAGGGTAGCATTACTATACTATAAGCACTTTGAAGGAAGACACCATGTCTTAGATAAACTTTGCATCACCTCTGACACTGAGGAAAGGACTCTGCATAACGATCACTTAACAAATATTTGTTGAATGAAATGTGATAGAACTACTTGAAAAAACAAGTCGGCAATAATCCAGTTACTACAGCAAGCTTCAGAGACTAGAAATATGAGTGGGTAGTTTTGACTTTGCATGCCTTACCTTCCAGTGCTGAGCAGAGCTATTAAGCAAGTAACAAGAATTTGTTAAGCACTTATTATGCACTTACACTGTGCTAGGCCTTGGGAATATAAATACAATAAGTGAAACAATTCCTACTTGCAAGGAGCTCAAATTCTAATAGGGAAGACAAGGACATATATAAATATATAAAGAATAAATATGAAGAGAATAGAAGTATAAATATTTATACAAAGTAATTCAATGCAAGGTAGTTTGAGAGGATCAGGAAAGGTGGTGTTTGAACTGGATCTTGAAAGGACCAGAGGGATTGAATGAGGTAGAAGTGAGGAGGGGGTGAATTTCAGGCACGCAGGAAAGCGCCAAAGCATAGAGATAGGAGATAAAGTGCAATGTATAAGGAAAAGAAAGCCAGTTTGGTTGGACTGAAGAATGCAGGAGAGGGAATACTATACAGGGAGGCTAGAAAGATGGGTTGGGACAAGGTTGAGAGCTAAACAGAACCCCAATTCATATAGTCAAAAGTATATGAATAGCCAATTTCAAGAAGAAGTCCAGGCAATCAACAGTCATGTGAAAAATGTTCATCAGATTGGTAAAGTTGACAAAAGAGGAAAACGACAAATATTCTGGAGACACTGTGACAAAACAGGCCTATTAATGGACTATTATTGGTGGAGTTATGAATTGGTCCATCCATTTTGGAAAGCAATGTGGAACTAAGCCGAAAAAGTCACTAGACTGTAATTTAGCTATAACACTACTAGGCCTATACTCCAAAGAGATGGAGTGGAAAAATGACCCATGTATGTGTGAGAGATGAACTCTCAGAGGTGAAGCCTCCTCAAGGTCAATAATTTTTGATTATTACTTTCAAAATCCTCCCCCACTCAGACCCTGTATTTAAGCACTTAGCAGAAAGAATAAGCCTGCCCCACCCCCAACCTGAGCCGTTTGCCCTTGGCTTCCCGCCTCTTTCCTAGTCTTTGAATTTCTCACCTGGAATGTAAGCCCCACCTCCCAGTTAAGGGGTTTAGGGATAGTGGTGGGTGGAGACTTTGCGTGGTGGGCGGAGACTTTGCGTGGTGGGCGGAGACTTTGCGTGGTGGGCAGAGATTTGCTTTTATAAGGCGGGCCCCTGTTTCTTGGTCTGTCTCTCTCTCCACGTGTATCGAAGGAGCAGATAGCCATCTCTCGAGATTGTAATAAAGGTAACCTTTGCTTTCTACCTTGAGAAGTCTCTGAGTTTAATTTGGGTTAGAGGGTCGCTGTCCCACACATACGCAAAAATGTTTTTAGTAGCTCTTCTTATAGAAACAAAGAACTAGATAATGGGTGGGTATGTTAAGTTCTAGAGGTTAAGGGGGGCTGGGACCCCAAACTCATGACACACACATCCTGCCCAAAAGAGTTTTACCCAAGCCTTCTTTCAGCCAAAGACAAGGTTTATTAAAGATGGACCATATAGGCCAGACTCTTAAGGAATCTGAACATTTGTGATGCTTTAAGGGGATGAGGAAGTCTCAGCCCCTAAACGGCTCTTGTATACAGAAAGACTATGGGAAGGATCTAGGAGCGTCCAAGTAGTTTGGGATGACTGAGGGGGCTAGGAGAAGAGGTGTCTTGATGGAAGTGGCCAGTACTGGAGGAGGAGTTTAGGGAGGATCTTGAAGCTGGGGTGACTGGGGGTGGGTCCTGGGAAGATCTCAATGGGAGTGTCTGAGAGATTGAATAGGGCTAGGCTCAATTAGGGTAACAAAGGCCTAGGCAATAAGGAAAGGCCAGTTGATAAGAATAAGAATAACTTCTGGGGACTGCTAGACTTCCTTGACCAGGTAAAAGTTCAAATAGGGATCCAGGAAGGTTTTTTTTGTTTTGTTTTGTTTTGGGGGGGGTATCTTGGGTCCATACTCCATCAAGTACAGGCATGGAGAATGGCTGAACAAATTATGGTACATAAAGGAAATAATATGGTACATATGGAAATGATAAAAAATTATCAAAGGAGTAGCTTCAGAGAGACTTGTGAAGACTTGTGAACTGATCTGGAGTGAATTGAACAGAACAAAGAGCAATTGATATAATAATCACACTATAAAAACAAACAATTTTGAAAGACTTTAGAACTCTCATCAATGCAGTGACCAACCAAAATGCCAAAAGAATGATAATGAAGCACATTACCCATCTCTTGAGACAGAGCTGAGGGACCCAGTGCAGAAAGAGACATACATTTTTAGATATGACAGACAAATATGGAAATTTGTTTACTTAACTATACATATTTGTTGCAAGGGTTTTGTTTTTCTTTTTTTCTCTCTCATTGGGGAAAAATAAATAAATGCTTGGTGATTTTTTAAAAATAAAAGTTACCCAAAAAATTTAAGCTAAATAGAGGAGTTTACTTTATTAGTGATTTGGAGTTTTATTTCATATGGTTGGACAATTCATTGTTAATGGTCATGTGATCTATTAATATCATCATATAGGAGAAAGACTCAAACAATTTAAAAAATGCTTCAAATAATTAGCTGCAATAACATTAATATTTTCCTTTCCCTCTATCCCTCTTCCCAACTGGTCTGGTAAAAATGGAATAAAAAGTGTTTTAACTGTTCATGGGTAGGTCAAGCCAATATAATAAAAACGACAATCCTATCTAAATTAATCTACTTATTTAGTACCATCCCAATTAAATTATCAAAAAAAATATTTTATTAAGCTAGAAAAAAATAAGAAAATTCATTTGGAAGAGCAAAAGGTCTAGAATGTCAAAAGAATTAATGGAAACAAATGTAAAGGAAGGAAGTCTAGCAGTGTCAGATTTTAAATTGTATTAAAGGTAGTAATTATCAAAACTCTGGTACTGGGTAAGAAATAGAATGGTGGATCAGCAGAATAGAGCAAATATGCAACAAACAGTAGTCAATGACTGTAGTTACCTTGTGTTTGATAAATTTAAAGATTTAAGTTTTTGGGTTAAGAATTCACTGCTTAGTAAAAATTGTTGGGAAAACTGGAAAGCAATCTGGCATGTCTATTGGTATAGACCAATATCTTATACCATTTACCAAGCTAAGGTCAAAACGGATACATGGCTAGACATACTTATCACAAGTAAATTAGATGAATGTGGAACATGTTGCCTATCAGATTAATGATAGAAGAATTTATGAATAAGATAGCATTGTGAGACATAAGATGGAAAATTTTGATTACATTAAATTTTAAAAGTTTTGTACAACTAAACACAATGTAACCAAGATTAGAAGGAAAGGAGAAATTGGGGGGATGGGGAGGATTTTTATAGAGTTTCTTGAATAAAGGCCTCATATCTCAAATATATAGAGAACTTTATCAAATTCATAAGAATATGAGCTATTCCCCAAATGATAAATGGTCAAAAGATATGAACAGCAGTTTTAGAGAAAGAAATCAAAGCTATATAAAGTCATATGAAAAATGCTCTAAATAATTATTCATTATAGAAATGAAAATTAAAACAACTTTGAGATATCATCTCACACCTATCAGACTGGCTAAAATGATAGAAGGAGGAAATAACAATGTTGGAGGGAATATGAAAAAATTGGGATACTGTTAGTGGAATTATTTCAATCATTTTGAAGAGTAATCTGGAATTATGCCCAAAAAGTTATAAAACTGTGTATACCCTTGGACCCAAGCAATATCATTATTAGGTCTATTTCCCAACGTGATCAGGGAAAAAGTAAAAGAATCTATATGTTCTCAAATATTTACAGCAGCTCTCTGTGTTGCTGAAGAACTAGAAATTGAGGGGATGCTTGTCAATTGGGGAATGGCTGAATAAGTTGTAGTATATGATTATAATTGAATACTACTGTGCTATAAGAAATGTCGAACAGGGTTGACTTTAGGAAAACACTGAAGGACTTGCATGAAATAATCAAGAGTGAAATGAGTAGAACCAAGAGAATGCTGTATACACTAACAGCAATATTGTTTGAAGAGTAAATGTGAATGACAAAGCTATTCTGAGTTATATGAATATTCAAATCAACTACAAAGGACCTAAGAAGGAAGATGCTATCCATCTCCAGAGGAAAAACTGATATATGGAACTGTGTGTTGTGCAGTTTTACATATATATGTATATATGTGTATCCATGTCAAATGTTGGTTGGCTTTCTCTAGTATAGGGTTGGGAGGGAGAGAAGGAAACAGCTTGGGACTCAAATATAACCCAAAAAATATTTTTTTTTTAAAAAGACTATGCATCCCCAGTGCCTGTATAGGGCTATGTACACAATAAACCACTTTTACCTTTATTCCTCGGCTATAGGGAATGAGTTTGAGAATTCGAAGAGATTGGATGCCTTCTCCTATATTTAGATATGGGCAGTGCCTGCCAAACAGCTTCCGCACGTGAAAAGGAACAGAAAGTATGATGATGATGACAACATCCAACAAATTGTATCCATTCTTCCAATATCCAAGGGGATCCACATAAAGTTTGATGCAGAACTCAAAACAATAAACAGACACAAATAGGACTTCTACTACCTGAAAGAGAAAACAAAATAGTCATAGTTAATCTGGCATTCCAATGGCCAAGGGGAACATAGATTTAAAAAAAACATGCAGGAAAATACAGTGTGAAGGGTACACTAGATGACTAACCCATGATGTAGCGGCTCAACTTCTCACACAGGGCATATGGCTACCCACGTACTTTCTGGGCTGGCTCACTCACTCCAGCCTGCTCTGACTTTGGGTGGTCTAGGGTTCTCAGAGAAGAACCAGATGGTTATACCAAAATTCTCTCAAGATCCTGTGGATAAACTTGTTGTGGGAGAATATATTCCCTGAGGTGCTTACATTTACCCAGTCCCTACCACTTGCAAATAATGACAATTTAGATCTTAATCATAACTATTTACTGAACAATAAGGCAAAAAATAACATCACAGATATTCATTCATATATTTAAGGAAAATAAAGAAATAATAAATACATCACTGTCTGCACATAAACCTAAGTCATACTCTCCCACCAATGTACTCATAGTATCTATAAGAAAAAGTAAACACACACAGGAATCTGCCAAAGAAGCATGAGTGAAGAAAACCCAAGTACTTGGCAAAAGTCACAACTTTGGAACTTAAACTTTGGTGTCCTTTTTCTGTCTCAGACACTGTCCATATAAATCAACACAGTTTCTGTGTTGAACAAATGTTTCCACTGCTAAGGAGAGTTGACACACACTGTGCTTCTTGGGAGACATGACGTCTCAGTGACATTAATGGATCTGCTGGATGACCTCTATGATTCTTTGCTTCCACTGAACTTCCTCTTGTCCAGTAACTATAGTATCCACCACTTCCAATTTCAAATTTAGCTGATGTGATACTGAAATCTTTCCCTCTCTCTTTCTCTTTTTATCTTTCTGGGTTCCAACTCTAGTTCTCTCTACAAACAACCCAATCTTAGTTTATGATTAGTAACCAAATTCTCATCTTCTGCCTAGAATCAGATAAGTTACATTTGTCTTATAATCATAAGACAATTCTGGTACCCATATTATACTATATTGTTTCTATTTCTATTACACTATAGCCTATCACAGTCAAAAACAAGTAATAATTGTCTCAGAACTCTGACTCAATGTAACTGTTTCTCTGAGCAAAGTAGACAAGTCAGCAACAAACTGCTCCACATGATAAGGCAGCACTTTAAAGGGACAGTATCTTACAATAGTAATTTTTCCTTTTTTCTGAATTCCTAGAGGACTTTGTCTGAACCACACAAAATGGTCCTCCAATTATCTTGTACTGGTTATTTCACATATGTGAGTTTCGTCTTCCTAACTAGACTATGAGTTCCCCAAAAACAGGAATGATGTCTTCTTCTATCTCCTCTGGGATACAGCCAACACATTTCTGGCCACAAGGGAGGTATTCAATGAAGGATAGTTAATTAAATCATTTACCATTCAATACCCATGTATTAAATGTCCATAATGAACAGTGCACTCTACCAGGCACCCACTCATTCATTCCATAGCCCCAGTGAAATTGTTTTCACTGAGACTCCCCAGAATATGAGAGATACCATATAATCATTATGATACAGGTTAGAAATACCAACCACCATGGCACATGCCCCTTAAGATACTGACTCTCAGTAGTACAGTGCTACCACCAGCAGATACTTGTTCAGTGACCTACAGATGGATGTATTCTTTTCCCAGGATAAATGATTAAAACCTTTTCTTCCTTCTGGACCAGAAGTAGTAGTGATTAGTATGAGTAATATGAATATTGGCATTTCAGTCCATCATGATTAGATATCTCTCATCCTTAGGTATCTCAATGAAATAAAAATTATCAGAGTCTATTTTCTCTCCACTACCACTTCCAACCCCTTAATCTATGGCCATCATTCAGCAATCTCTCCTCCTTTGAGATTCACTTCACCTATTGTATTAATAGGATTTAGTGAGGTTCGGATTCGCTCCTATAAATGACACTCTCCAATGCACCAGAAAATAATAGGAAATAGATAATTTATTTAGAAGAAGCAAAGCACAGATAGTTTGAATTTGCATAGAAAGCATAAATAATAAGAACAATTTTAAATAATAAGAACAATCAATAATATAGCACCGATCAAGAGAGTCGGGTAATGGAAGAGAATACATCACCAATTCAAGGGAACCTCCAAAGTCAATCAACGGCTGGGAGCCCCGTTGCAGCCAGTACAAACTTGAATTGTGTAAAGATTTTCCCGGGCTAAGCGTCCTTCCCGCGGGTGAGGCTCAGCGGGCTTACAGGACGCAGTGTTTTTATATTGTTCTAAACAAAGAAGGCTTGGGGCCAAGAAGCCCTTTTTGATGCTTGCGCTATTCATGGTTTGTCCAATACACATCTGACCTTAGCCACGCTCCCATCTGCCTGAGGCTTGGTATTTTGTTTTTTAATAACATCACGTCTCACAAGGAGAGGAGCCAACCCTCCATGTCAACGTGACCTAGGAATGGCTAGTTCCTGGAATGCTAGGCCAAGAACACTCAGGAGATATGGAACAGTCATGACCGAGATTTGAACTGAACCTATTTATTTGAGTGATCTTATTAATTTAAAGGGGAATTTCCAATTTCCATTTCACCTATCTATATCAGCCTCTCCAAATCCTGGTTGTTATACTCTTCTGGCTCTCTTTCCCTTATGAAGGAGTTCAGTTCTTCTTCTCCACCTCAACTCCTGCCCTTGTACTTGGGAATTTAGCATTCGTGCTGATACTGACTTCCCAGTTCATAAGCTTCCTCCACTCCCATTATCAGCACCTTCACTCCACCTCAGCTACACATAGAGTCTTAAGCTTTATCTTATCATCACCTGTAATTATTCAATCTTCAAGATCTAAAATTCTGAAATTTCTCTCTTACACCATCTCTTCCCTCCATTTCATTCCTGCTGAACCTATTCTCCAACATCATCATGACCCTGGGTCACTCCATCCCTCTTGCTTTCCTAGCCCGTTATTCCTATTCTGGTCTCACTTTCCTCCCTATAGTTACCTAGCTCAACTTTGTGCTGTCTTCTGCCCTCTTGACCCCTTGTCCTATCACTACTCATCCTTTTCTTAACTCCAACTTTGGATTACCCAAATCATTTGCCTTTTCCCCTCCTACTCATGTGCTAATAAATGTTGGAGGAAATCACACTATCATGTTGACTGGGACAACTACAAATGTATGCTTTCTAATCTCAAATGACCCTCACTTTTTCAAGGTGATCCTTTTACTTTTCCCTGATTTACTATCACATTCTCTACAGCATCTATTTCAAAGCTTTCTTCAAGACACCTCTACTTACCCTTCCTCCTCTCAGCAAAGGTTCTCACTTCATCACACTTTATAAAATAAAAGCCATTCATTGCTAACTTCATCTTTTCCCCACTTTTACACCATAAACAGCCTTAACATCACCCATCCTACCCCCATTCTCTCCTCCTTTGTTCCAGGATTAGAAGAGTTCATGCCTCTCCCTGCTAAGGCCAACCCCTCTACTTGTGCTCTGGATCCCATGCTATCAGGTCTTCTCTAGATTACCCCATGAACCAACTCTTCCCTTCTCTCTAATCTTCAATTTCTCAACATCCAGTGGCTCTTTCTTGCGGACATAACCATATCTCCCCCAACCTTTAAAAAGAAACTTCAACTGGCCCTCTCATTTTCTCAAACTATTATCCAATATCTCTTATCCATTTCATAACCTAACTCTTAGAAAAACTCATCTACACCTGTTTACTCTACTTTCTAACTTTCTATTCACTTCTCAATATGTTAAAATCAGACTTCTGACTCGATCACTTGATGGAAACTCAAAAATTACCATGTTCTCTTTTTTAATTTAAATTTTTGATAATGCTTGTTTTTATATCACCTTCATTTCTGAACATATCCTTCTCTTCCTACTGACTGAGCCATCCTTCATAAGAAAAAATAAAAAAGAAACAGGAAAAACAAGCAGTTCAGCTAAACTAACCAAAATATCCACCAAATCTGATAGAATAGGTGTCTTCCATATCTATAGTCCTCCACCAGAAAGAAAGGGAGAGAGAAAGAAAGAGAGAAAGGAAAGAAGAAAGAGAGAAAGGAAGGCAGGAAGGAAAGGAAAGGAAGGAAGGAAGGAAGGAAGGAAGGAAGGAAGGAAGGAAGGAAGGAAGGAAGGAGGAAGGAAGGAAGGAAGGAAGGAAGGAAGGAAGGAAGAGGAGGGAGGTGCATTTTCCCATCTTTTCTACAGAACAAGTTTACCAGTAATCTTTTAATTGCTAAATCAATGGCTTTTTCTGTCTTCATCCTTCCACCAAATATCATAATCCTCATTCTTCTTGATTTTTCTGCAGCACTTTATACTGTTGACGATCCTCTTCTTGGAGATATTCTTTCTTCTCTGAGTTTTTGTGACACTGGTCTCTTTTAATTTTCCTCCTACCTGCCTGACCACTCCTCAATCCCCTTTATTAGTTCATCATACATACTACACCTAACTAACTGTAGGTATATCTTAAGGCTGTGTCCTGGGTGCTCTTCTTTCACTTGGTTGACTTCATCAGCTTCCATGATTTTATTATGCAAATGACTATGTAAATGGCCCTTATTTTTATATATCCAGCACTAGTCTATCTCTTGAGCACCAGGCCATCTCCAACTACCAAGCAGACATTTTAAACTAAACTAGATGTTCCATAAGCATTTCAAACACAACATATCCAAAATAAAATCATTACCTTTTCCCTAAAACCTAGCCCTCTTCCTATTTGTATTGAGGGCACCACCATTCTTCATCACCCAGGTTAACAATTTCCATGTTATGTTTGGCTCCTTACTCTCCCTTATCCTATAATCCAACGTATTGCCAAATTTTGTTAGTTCTGTCTCTAAAATAATTCCTCCATTTGTCCCCTTCTTTCTATTCACATGGCTGCCACCTCAGCTCAAGCCTTTATATCACTTCTCACTTGGACAAAATAGCCTGTCATTGGTCTCCTCTACTCAATAAACTGCAGTTGCTCTGTATTTCCTCTAGGATCAAATATCAACTCCTGTTTGACCTTCAAAACCCTTTACAACCCAGCTTCACTCTACCTTTCTAGCCTTATTATACGTTATTCCTCTTCCCTTGTATTGCTCTCCAGACAAACTGGCCTTCTTTTTGCTCTTCACACATGACACACCTTTCATCTCAGAGAGCACTTAAAAAAAAGTTTGATCTTTGTCCCTCCTCACCGCTGACTCTTAGAAGGCTTTTTTTTCCTTCCAAACTCAGCCCAAGTGCCACTTCCTGCATGAAGATAAAGCTTTTCCTGATTCCAACCCCTTCCCCATTACATTGAGTTTATTTTATGTGTATGTATCTTTTTCCCTTCTCCTTGACAGCAGAGACTTTCATTTTTCTCTGTTTCTTCAGCCCTAGCACAGTGCCTTTCACATAGAAGGCACTTAATAATTACTAATTCATTAATACTTTATCTCTATGGTATTGATATCGCTGACTATTACCTCTGATCACTTGCTGTTAACTACTCCCTCTGACCACTCTCTCACCTAGATTTTCATGATATTGCTCTCTAGTACACCTCCAACCTTTCTGGCTACTCCATTTCAGTCTCATTTGCTAGATCATTATCTATGTCCAACTCCCTAAACAGGAATACACTTTTAGGATTCTGTCCTGGGACATCTTTTCTCCTCTCTCTATGTTCACTCTCATTTGCTCTTATGGGTTCAATTATTATCTCTATACAGATGACTACCAAATACAGCTGAAAGAGCCCCTCTGGGAACTAAGCTCATTCAAGGTACTTTGTGTGCCTAGACCTAAAGTCTCAGGCTGATTCTTTTTTGAATCTATGGCTGATTCTCTTGTCTGCTATGAGGAATAACTCTCCTTAGAGTTGCCTCTATTGACTGCTTTTCTTTCTGCTCCTTGTTGGATATAGTGTCTCCAACTAGTTGAGTAAGGATCAAGGAGGGCAGAAGTAAAAAAGGAAAGGCAAAGAGTAACTGTCTCTCAAGGACTGGAGTCTTCCTTCATAGTCTAATTCTGCATAAAAAGAATATGTGAAATTCACTTATCAATACAAGAAAGGATACTTAAGTATGATTTATTTTGAGAGTATCCTACATGATAATTTGTTGTGAATAAATATATACACTTTTTTTTAAAGAATGTAGCAAAGGGATCCATTAAACCATATCTTTTCAGATGGTGAAATAGTTTCCTGCTTGAAGGGTGGCTCATTATCTTCTACTAGAAGTAAAGAGTGTCCAGTAAAGTTTTGTTCTGATAATTTATGTCTCTTAAAGGGGAGACCAGTAGTGTGGGAGCTCTGGCAGACTCCAACAAGCTGGAAAGACCTTGAATTAATATGAGGATCAATCTAGCTGAATCTTGAGACTCATCAATTATTAGCAAGAATTGTTTCGGCTACAGAAACTCATGATGCCCTCTACAAAGGCGTGGAAGGTTTGTTATCTATATGTATACGTAAAAGGAGTATCCCCACTAAGGAAATCATAGATCTTTTCAAATACTGAAATAATGTGAAGAGTCTATATTTTTATTGACTCGCATTTGGGGCCTTTTGAGTCTAACTTCAGCAATTTCCCATTGAATAAAATGACTTCAAAAATCTCAGCACCTTTTCAGAAAAGAAAAAATCATTTTCTTACCTCAAAAACTAAGAACAAATAATTTTTAATGTCATAATCAGTCTGCAAAACCATACACAAGGCATTCAGTGAGATGGTACTTATCATAAGCATTGAAAAAAAACGACCTTCTATAAATCTTTTCACATAGGCACAATACTCAGTGTCTTTCCTCCTGTCAAAAAATTGCACAAAACAAAATGTGGTTAACTTTACTTGTGATGTTCTGTAGCCCAATGCTATGCAAATAATTTTACACAAAATATAGTCTTTTTCCATGTACATATTGAATAATGCGAACTTGGAAATATCAATACAGCCAAATGCTTCCTTCTAGTACAATGGAAAGATGCAAAACAAATCTATTAAAAATCATCAGTATTTCCACATAATATTAACAAAATCCAGAAGTTAAAAAATGAAGTAATCCCATTCAAAATAAATACAAAATGCAGAAAATATCTAGTAATCAATCTACCAAGATACAGTCAAGATTCATATAAAAATTATTATTAAAAACTCATCAAAGAAATAAATAATAATTGGAGATATATAATTGGAGAGATAATCATTGTTTATGTTTGAGGTCAAGCCAATAAAGTAAATATGGTAACACTATCTAAATTTATTAACAAATTTAGTTATCTCAAACTACCACAGAAACATTTTATAAAGCTAGACAAAATGATAAAAAAAATTCATTGGGAAGAACAAAATGTCTTATATCTCAAAGGAAATCATTTTTAAAAGTTGAAATGAAGGAGGAATAACAAGTACAGATCTTAATTTATTTTATAAAGCAATATTGATGAAAATTACTTGATATAGGTTAAAAATAGAAAAGTAGGTTAGTGGAATAGACTAAATAAGCAAGAATCATAAACAATCAACTTCAGTAAGCCTGAAAACAGTCTACTTGGGTAAGGACTCTTTATCTGATAAGAACTTTTGTGAAAATTGGAAAGTGATTTAGCAAAAAGTAGGTTTAGATGAGCAACTTGTGCCATTGTAACATAGAAAGTTTTAGATGAATTTCATTGTTCAGTTGTTCCGCCATGTCTGACTCTTTGTAACCACATGGATCATAGCATGCTAGGCTCTTCTATCTTCCACTATCTTCCAAAGTCTGTCCAAGCTCATGTTCATTGCCTCCCTCTATCTATCCATCTCATCCTCTGATGTCTCATTCTCCTTTTGCCTTCAGTCTTTCCCAAAATCAGGGTCTTTTCCAATGAGTCCTATCTTCTCATTATATTCAGAAGGATACTGGATTTCAATAAACATCATAAGAATGGAGGTAACTTCCACAAATATTCATAAGGGAAGAACTCTTGACCAAAGGATAAGGAAGATCACAAAAGATAAAACAGATATTTTTGATTCAATGAAATTGAAAAGCTTTTGCAAAAACAAAATCAATGCAGGCAGAATAATGAAAACTGTCAGTTGGGAAAAAATGCTTGCATCAAGTATATCTGATAAAAGTCTGATATCCAAGATATACAGGGAATTAACACAAATATTTAACCAAGAGCCATTCCCCAAAAAAATAAATGGCCAAAGGATATGAGCAAATATCTTTCAAAACAAATGAAAACTGCTAACAACAATATAGAAGATTGCTGTAAATAAAAACCAAAACAATTGAGATTTCTCCTTATTTCCAGCAAATTGGCAAAGATGATAAAATATGGACAATGTCAATGTGGAGGGGCCATAGCAAGACAGGCACACTGCTACACTAATTGTTAAAGGTATAAATTCATTGGACCAGTTGAAATTGAAAGTAATTTCAACAGTATAAAAAAAGAGAGAGAAGGATAAAATAAGAAAATAGGATGGAGGGAAATACACAGTTACTAATCATAACTATGAATGTGAATGTGATGAGCTTACGCACAAAACAGAAGTGGATAGCATAATGGATTAGAAACCATAATCCAGCAATATGTTGTTTACAAGAAATACAGTTGAAACAGAAAGATACACAGAATTTTTTTAAAAAGGAGATGGAGCAGAAGTTATAGCTGAAGTAAAAAAAAAAAAGGCTGGGGTAGCAACCATGGTCTCAGACAAAGGAAAAGCAAAAATAGACCTGATTAAAAGGGATATGCAGGAAAACTACATTTTGATAAAAGGTACTATAGACAATGACATAATATCAAAACACTTTATACCAAGTTTCTCTGATAAAGCCCTCTTTTCCCAAATATAGGGAACTGAGTCAAATTTATAAAAAATAAGAGCTATTCCCCAATTGATAAATTGTCAAGGGATATAAACAGTTTTCAGAAGAATACATCAAAGCTATCTATAGTCATAGGAAAAAAATGTTCTTAACTATTGATTGGAGAAACGCAAATTAAAACAACTCTGAGGGACCACCTCACACCAACAGAAATGACAAAAGCTGAAAAGGATGATGGAAAATAGATACACTAATGAATTGTTGTTGGAATAGTAAACTGATCCAACCATTCTAGAAAACATTTGGGAGCTATACCTAAAAGGCTATATGTACATACCCTTTGACTCAGCGATATCACTAGGTCTGTACCCCAAAGAGATCAAAGAAAAAGTGAAAAGACCTATATGCATGAAAATATTTATAACTATTTCTGTGGTGGCAAAGAATTAGAAATTGAGAGGATGCCTATGAATTGGGAAATGGCCAAACATTTGTGGCATATGTTGTGATGGAGTACTATTGTGCTACAAGAAATGACAAGGGGGATGGTTTCAGAAAAATATGGGAAGACCTATATGAACTGATACAAAGTGAAGTGAGCAGAACCAGGAGATCATCATACACAGTAAAAGAGATATTCTAATGATGATCAGCTGTGAAAGACTTAGTTATTATGATCAATACAATGATCCAAGAAAATTCCAAAGGACTCATGATAAAAAATGCTATCACCTCCAGAGAAAGAACTGGTAAACTCTGAGTGAAAACTAAAGTATAGGGGCGGCTAGGTGGTGCAGTGGATAGAACATCGGCCTTGAAGTCAAGAGGACCTGAGTTCAAATCTGGCCTCAGACCAAAAACTTGATGCTTACTAGCTGTGTGACCCTGGGCAAGTCACTTAACCCTAATTGCCTAAAAGGGGGGAAAAAAAAGAAAACTAAAGTATAGTTTTCTCATTTTATTTTTCTTGCTTTTTGACACAATGTGGCTAATATTGAAATGTTTTCCATGTATAACTGATATATTGCTTCCCTTCTCAGTGGGTTGGGGAGGGGCAAAAGAGAAGGAGAGAATTTGGAACTCAAAAAAATTTTAATGTTAAAAATAAATAATACATATTTCAAAAGTAATTTGAAATTATATTTTTAAAAGTAACTAAAAAGTCCATACCTTTTGACTTAGAGATCCTAGTGCTAGGTATATACCCTCTCTTTTGAACCAAGGAGGTAAAATACAGAAATAAAGATCCCATACATGTCAAAATAATTATAGCAGTACTTTTTGTGATGACAGATAACTTGAAACAGAATAGGTGCCCATCGATTGGGGAATATTTAAACAAATTGCAGTACACATATGTAATAGAATATTACTACACCATGAACAATAACAAATATAAACAATCCACCGAAATATAGGAAGACATTTTATTCTGTATAAGTTCATAAGCTTAAGAACCAAGAAAACAATATACACAATCACAACAATATAAAAAGAAAGAACAACAAAATGAAATGAAATACTATGCAATTAGAATGCATAACTTGGCTCCAGAGATTTGAGAAAAAGTGCTCTTTATGGAAGAATAAGAGCTCTATAGGATGTGATCACTATGTCAATTGGTTTTACTGATTTTTATTTTTTTAATCTTTCATGCTTATTACAAGCAAGTGCTCACTGGGTAGGGAAGTAGAAAGGGATAGTAATGAGAGTGACGTAAAAAACAAAGGCACAATTTTTTAAATCCCATAGTTTTAACTTAATCTAAAATGAGATCTGTTTACTCTTGTCTGCTGCACCTTCTACAAAAATAAATAAACTTTCATATTGTTAAATTGACGACACAGTCAGTTATTTAGTTGTTTTGTCCATATGTTTAAAAAAAGTGACTGAATTTTAAGCTGAATCAGAATCTATTATGAGATATTTAACCTAGGAACATAATTTCCCATCAGCCCTCACAAAGACACATAGTGACCAGATTTAGAAAACATATATATATATATATATATATATTTAACCTGTAAAACATGTAAAGTAATCTTTACCACTCAGGTTAGTGGTGATTTCAAGTCAATTTGAACAAATACATTTCTTAAAATATGAAAGGCAGAGGCATAGAAAATTACCTGAAATTTGTGATTTGTGTCCAAATTCTAAGGGAACTCAGATTAAGAAGTGAACTAGAAATCTCTTTTATGTGGTCATGGGAGAAAAACACAGCTGAACGATCCATATCAACCTTCTAACTTCTTAATTTCAACTATATACTTTAGGATTTCTCCAAACAGCCAGTGCGGTCCAGAAGAACAGCAAAGGAATGTTCAGGATGGGAATCTTCTTTTTATGAGATAATTTCCAAGGTATTCTAATGTCTGAACCACATTCTCTCAGACTTGCACTGTTTTAGAATCATTCTCCTACTGTCTCACACATATATACCTTGTCTCCTCAATCAGACTATAAGCTTTTCAAGAATGTACTTCAATGAAACTAGACACCAATACAAGGTATGAGATGGTGTGATAGGAATACTATCACAATGTGAACATTTTAATCACTGAATCTCAAACTTGGAAAAGCACCTCAGAAGGCCTCTATTTCATAAGGAAGAATCTCTACTACATCAACAAGTAGGCCTCTAGCCTCTCATTGAAGATCTCCAGTTATGGAAAATCCAATCACTTTTAGACAGTATAAAGAAGTTTTTCCTTTACCTTTACAAAAGTCTAACACTTTACAGTTTCTAATAATTGCTCCTTGTTCTACTTCCTGATGTTAAGGAGAGTAAGTCCACATGACAGCCCTTGAAGTGATAATGTATTTCCCATATTCCTCATGCTAAACATCCAAAGTTCCTTCAAGTCCTCTGCCTATGGTGTAGTTTCCAGTGCCATCACCATCCTGGCCTACATCTTGCCTAAAACACTTCTTATGATGGCTTTTTATCCAAACCAAAAAAGGGGCCATGAGACCTTGTCTAAAAATAAAAAGGAAAAAAAGATTATTTCTCAGGGAAAGGTTCACAGGCTCCATGTAAATGAAGTGGCACCACCGGTATCACACAGACAATCTTTAGGAACATCATTGACAGGGAAAAAAAGTCATGGGAAGCACCATGAACTGAGAAATGAGGATGCCAACATTTCAACCTAATATCCTAACATCAATTTCTCCACAGTGATATTCAGACTAGCTCAAATTCAGTTACTTTGATTCCACAGACACGTATGTTTGTCCTGCCCTTATGATGCCAATGAAGGTGATAAAGTGGGTAGAGTATTGGCTTTGGAATCAAGAAGATCTGAATTTTAATCCTGCCTTAGACATTTATTAGCTATGTGACCCTGAGCAAATCATTTAACCTCTTTGTAACCTCATATATAGAATTAGGAGGTTGTGGACTTGGTGAACTCTAAAGCCCCTTTTAACCTAATATGTGTTATTGTGAAGTACATATAAAAGTTTTCCTTCTGAAAACTGCTATTCATGTCCTTTGACTTTTTGTCAATTGAGGAATAGTCTTATAAATTTGACTCAGTTCATAAAGAATTTGATTCCTCAAATGAGTCCTGCTCACTTCATTCTGCATCAGTTCATATTACCGGGATTCTTTGCAATAACTTCTTGTCATTTCTTATCTCATAATAATATTTCATTACATACATATGCCATAATTTGTTCAGCTATTCTTCAATTGATGGGTACCCTCCATTAAATTCTGGTTGTCTTTATTTCCCCCCTTTAAGATTGGGAGGCTTGTTTTGCTTGTAACTATTCCCTCTACAATATTATCCTCAGCTCTTCTATTCATAACTCCTTGTTCCCTTTTCAAGGTTAATGTATTTCTGCACCAATCTGTTTGTATCTATGCTCAATCCTTCTTTGCCCATTTCTTAGGAGTGAGGTTCATCTGACTCTCACTTCTCCCACTCCTTTTTCCATGTTTCTATATTCTCACACACCCCAATTATGAGAAATAAGTTCTATCACCCTATTTACCTTCACACACGAATCTATTCCTCCATTTACCTTCCTTTCTCTTTCGCCTCTTAAAACCCACCAAACAGAACCAATCTACTGCTCTCCAGGTCCTTTAGCTTTCTTATTTAACTTCTTTAACACTCTCTGAAGATACTGAAGTTCTTGTTAAGGAATGTTAAGGGGTTCCCTGAACTTTTCTTTTTGAATTGATATATTTTCCAGAAACACTGGACCTGGAGTATGCAGGAGGCCCTGAACATGACAAAGATGAAGCCCCATTTAGGCTGATATAATTTGTTGTTTGCACCTTCAAGCATCCCCATGTGTGTCGTTGGGAGTCAAGACAGGTGCACTAAACCTCTTGTGTAGCTGGGACCCTTGTAGATAAGCAGACCGTCATATCATCACAGTCTAGCAGTTCTCAAGGGAAAAGAATGTGTCTTTTGCCATCTTAACTATTCATGATTTCTCCTCCTCTACCACTCCCATATGGGTGGTTTCCGTTTCTTCTCCTTTCTTTGCCACAGTTTCATAAATATTCAAGCTCCTGTTTGGATTGTGAACTCTTTGCCCTAGCTTAGGATTCCCCATGCATGTTCATTTCTCCTGTAATAAACCTAGTTTTCACATAAGTTTCATGAAGTTGTGATTTCCTGTTGACAATTCTGAAGGGACAATTGTTTCTTCTCTTCCTATTAGAATGTTTACACTATAACAACATACAGCCCTTTCCAATTATTGAAATAAATTTACTTAAGTTTACTTAAGAAATAAATTTATTTAAGTTACTCAAGTTGACTTGTGTTTGCATCTCAAAGTTCTTACTTAACATTTGATCTTTTCATCAAAACTGCTTGGAAATCTTCTTTTATTTAAGGTGCACTTTCCCCCCTATAAGATTATACTCAATTTTGTAAGATTATTACTGGCCATAAGCCTGTTTCTTTTTTGCCTTTTAGAATATTGTGTTACAAAGTTGTATCCCAAGATCCCCTAATTTATGGTACAGGTTGCCAAGTCTTGTGTGATAATGACTGGCTGCTTGGTACTTAAATTGTTTTCTTTGACACTGCTTTTTGAGCTTGCCTTCAGGAAATGATCTGTGAATTCTTTCTATTTTCATTTTACCCTCTGGTTCTAATAGAGAAGTTTCCACTTATGACCTCTTGAAATATAGTGTCCAGGATTAATTTGGGGTGGAGAAGGGAGACAAAATCATGTTTTGGGGGGGAATCTGATTTTTTAAATTTTACTATTAAGTTACAAATTCTCTCTTTTCTTCCTTCCCCTCCTCCACCCATTAGAAAGGCAAGAAAAAGAAAGCCCATTATAATTATATATAATCATGCAAAACAAATTTCTGAATTAGCCATGTGTTAAAAAAAAAAAAAAGAGAGAGAGAGAATAAAGAAAATATGCTTCAATCTGAACTCTGAATCCATCAACTCTCCATCTGGAGATCAATAACATTTCATTGTGAGTTCTTTGAAATTGTGATGGGTCACTGTTTTGATCACAATTCCTAAGTCTTTCCAAATTGATTCTCTTTACAATATTATTGTATACAATGTTCTCCTGGTTCTGTTCACTTAACTTTGAATCAGTTCATACAAGTCTTCTTAGGTTTTTCTGAAACCATTGCTTCATCATTTCTCTCAGCATAATACCATTTCATCACATTCATATAGTTCATTTGGCCATTACCCAATTGATGAGCATCCCCTCAGTTTCCAATTCTTTGCTACTACAGAAAGAATATTATAAATATTTTTGGACATATAGGTCCTTTTCCTCTTTCTCTGATCTCTTTCAGGTGTAGACCTGTAACGGTATTACTAAGTCAAAGGGCATGCACAGTTCAATAGATTTGGGGGAATGGTTCCAAATTGTTTTCCAAATGGTGGACCAATTCATATCTCCAACAACAGTGCATTACTGTCTCAATTTTCACATATCCCCTCCAACATTTGTCATTTTCCATTTTTGTCATATTAGCCAATCTGATGAATATGAGGTAATTTAGAGTTGTTTTAATTTGTATTTCTCTCATTATTGGTGATTTAAAGAATTTTTTCAGATAGCTATTGATGGCTTTCATTTCTTCTTCTGAAAACTGCCTATTCATATCCTTTGCCTTTTTAATTGAGGAATAGGTCTTATAAATTTGACTCAGTTCACAAAGAATCTGGTTCCTAAAAATTCTCTTTCCTTGACCTGTTTTAGAGGTCAGTTGTTTTTTATATTATCTTACGTTTTCTTTTTTTTTTCAATCTTTTGTTTTTGTTATATTTCTTTTTGTCTGATAAGAGTCACTGACATCTGTTTGGTCTATTCTAGTTTTCTTTTTTAAACTATTTATTATTTTATTTTCCCCCAATTACATGTAAAAACAATTGTTAACAGCTCATTTTTTAAAGTTCTGAATTCCAAATTCTCACCCTTCCTCCTTCCCCACCCTATTCATTGAGAAAGCAAGCAATTTGATATAGGTTATACATGTGTAGTCATGCAAAACATATTTTCATATTAGTCATATTGTAAAAGAAAACATAGACCAAAAAAATAAAATAAAGCAAAATAAAGAAACTTTAAAAACTATGCTTTAATCTGTATTCAGACACCATCAATTTTTTCCCTTAGGATGGATAAGCATTTTTCATCATAAGTCCTTCAGAGTTGTCTTGGATTATTGTATTGTTGAGAATAGCTAAGTCATTCAACCCTACAATATCGCTGTTACTATGTACAATGTACTCCTGGTTCTACTGATTTCACTTTGCATCAGTTCATGTAAGTCTTTCCAGGTTTTTTTGAGAAGCATCCTGCTCATCATTTCTTATAGCACAATAGTATTCCATCACAATCATATACCACAACTTGTTCAGCCATTCCCCAACTGAAGGGCATTCCCTCAGTTTCCAATTCTTTGCCACCACTAAAAGAGCTGCTATAAATTATTTTTGTACATATAGATCCTTTTCCTTTTTTTTTTTATCCCTTTTGGGAAACAGATCTAGTAGTGGTATATTTAGGTCAAAGAGTATGCATAGTTTCATAGCCCTTTAGGCTTAGTTCTAAACTGCTCTACAGAATGGTTGAATCACTTTACAACTCCACCAACAGTGCATTAATGTCTCAATTTTCCCACATACCCTCTAACATTTGTTATTTTCCTCTTCTATCCACTAGCCAATCTAACAGGTGTGAGGTAGTACTTCAGAATTATTTTAATTTGTATTGCTCCAACCAATAGGGAATTAATGCATTTTTTTCATATAGCTATAGTTTTGATTATTTCATCTGAAAACTGACTTCATATCTTTTGACCATTACTCAATTGAGGAATGGCTCTTATTTTTATAAATTTGACTCCGTTCCCTTCCTTTAAGGCCTTTATCAAAGAAATTTGCTTCAAAAATTTTTCAGTTATGATTGCTAATTGTATTTCCCTCCATCCTATTTCCCCCTGTTTATTCTATTTTCTTTCTCCTTTCACTGTCTCTCCTCAAAAGTGCTTTGCTTCTGACTACCACCTCCCCCAATCCACTCTCTTCTATTATCCCTTCTTCTGTTATCCCCTTCCCCTCCTGCTTTCCTGTAGGGTATTTCTGTACCCAGTTGAGTGTTTATGTTATTCCCTCTGGGCCAATTCTGATGAGAATAAATTCAAGCACTCCCTCCTCCCTCCCTCATCTTCCCCTCCATAGTAAAAGTTTTTTCTTGCCTCTTTTATGTGAAATAATTTAGCCCACTCTACCTCTCCTTTTCCATCTCTCCTAGTGCATTCCTCTTTCTCAAACCTTAATTTTATTTTTTTAGATATCATCCCTTCATATTCAACTCACA